ATAATCATACCCCATGAGCTTAGCTACCCATTTCTACTGCATAGGTGTAGACACTCTTTGTTCAATCAGTTATTTAAGACTTGGATGATCAGTTTTAATGGCAAAGTGTCTGCCTAACAGATAAGGTCTCCATTTCTACACTACACTCATAATGGCTAGCATCTCCTTTTCATACACAGAAAGGCCTTTGTGCTTGGTAGCCAGACCTTGACCAAAATAAGCCAGAGGTCGCCCCTTCTGGCACAGGACTGCCCCAATGCCATCACCTGAGGCATCTATTTCCACTTCAAAAGTCTGTGAAAAGTCTGGCAAACCCAACACAGGAGGTGAGCTCATGACCAACTTCAGCTGTGAAAATGCTTCTATGGCTTTATCTGTCCGCTTGAAGTTATTCTTCTTGAGTAATTTTATCAAAGGTTTGGCCAGCTTCCCAAAGTCCCTTATAAATCTCCTGTAGTATCCTGCTAATCCCAGAAATCCCCTTAACTCCTTTAGATTTGAAGGTAAAGGCCATTGTTGAATAGCTTGCACCTTTTGAGGATCTGCCTGCACTCCCTCTCCTGAGATCACATACCCTAAGTAGGCCACCTGTTTTTGAGCAAAAAAGCACTTGCTCTGCTTCACTTTCAAACTGTGCTATCTCAGAATCTCTAAGGTTATACGTAAGTGTCTGATGAGGTCAGACCAGGTAGGACTAAAGACAAGAATGTCGTTAAAGAAAACTAGTATGAACTTCCTCAAGTAAGGCCTAAACATAATGTTCATCAGGCTTTGGAAGGTGGAAGGTGCATTGGTCAAGTCAAATGGCATTACTACAAACTCATAATGCCCTTCATGCGTTCTGAATGCAGTCTTGGCAATATCATCAGGACACATCCTTATTTGATGGTAGCCTGATCTAAGGTCCAGTTTAGTGAAAAAATGTGATCCAAACAACTCATCAATCAACTCTTCTACTACTGGTATAGGAAAATTGTCCTTCACAGTTGCTAAGTTCAACTTCCCATAGTCAATGCACATTCTCCATGTTCCATCTTTTTTCTTGACCAACACAACTTGGGAAGAAAAGGGGATGGTTCTGTGTCTAATAACTCCAGATTGTAGCATTTCCTGGATCCACTTCTCAATCTCATTTTTTTGGAAGACAGGATATCTGTAGGGCCTTACATTCACAGGTGCTGTACCTTCCTTGAGCACAATTTGGTGGTCGTGGTCTCTATGTGGGGATAGTTCAGAAGGTTCCTTAAAAACATCTTCAAACTCCATTAATACTTCATTTAACTCACTTGTTTCAGAGTCAGGGGTAGGACTTGCCACCTGGAAGTTCTCCTCCATCTGACAAAGACTAGCTAATTGTTCATCTGTTGCTAACTGCACAGGTACAAGGAAACATAGCTGAGTAGAAGCAATCTGCTCTACCTTGTGTAGAATCCTCTGCATGGTCCTTCTCTTCACCAACTGAAGAAACCTGTTGATTCTTGCCCCTTAACACCACTCTCCTTTTTCCACTTAGAAATTCCATCTTCAATTCCTCAAAGTTCCATTTAATATCACCCAGAGTTGATTGCCATTGAACTCCCAGCACTAGCTCACAACCTCCCACAGGTAACACCATGGCATCAACCTTGAAAGTTTGATTCTGCATCTTCCAAGTAAAACCAGCACACAATGTATTGGTGGTAATCTTGTTGCCATCTGCCATTTCTACCACCAGATGTGGAAATCCTTGCACTCTCAACCCCAATTTATTGACTAAATCTGGGTGGATAAAGTTGTGAGAACTCCCATAGTCTATGAAGATGTTGACTGAGGTTTTTCCCACATGACCAGTCACCCTCATTGTTCTAAATTTAGGAACAGCAGCTAAGGTCATGGCATTTAAGGAAATGTGAGCCAAATTACCTTGTGAGACTTCTTCCTCCTCCTCAGATTCTACCTCCAATTCCTCATCCTCATCTTCTACACACTTCCAATCGAAATAGTTGCCTGTTCTTGCATCTATGGCCAACTCCAAATTTTTCATCACACCAGAAATAGAGGCCTTTTCCTCTTTTTTCATCCATTTCCATGGATGACAGTCTCTTGAATGGTTTCCTGGTATATCCTTCTGCAGTTTTTCCACTTTTATCCTAGCTAGGGGTGGGCAGTAATGCCTTACCATCTCTCCTCCAATTTCATTCAAAATTGTTTTCCTTCTTCCAAGGAGCTTCAGAATTCTTTTCTCCTCTCCATCTATCTTCCATGTTAGAATGGAAACCTGTTTTGATCACTCCCTTCTTCTGCTGAGTTAAAATCTTGGCCTCCTCTAGTTTGGCTAGTGTTCTGGCATGCTGCAATGTTTTAGGCATAAACATCCTCACAGCCAACTGTATTTTTGTCAGGCCATTGAGAAAACAGCTTGTGGCATAATCTTCAAGAAGATCCACCCTATTTAGTAGCTCCTCAAACTGCTCCTGGTAGTCAAGCACTGATCCTTCTTGTTTCAAAGCTTTCAATTCTCCCATCGGATCATCATACAAGCAACCTCCAAATCTTGACGCCAACTCCTTGATGTATTCCTCCCAAGCAAGCAATTCTCTGGTGATGCGAGATCTCATAAAGATCTAGTGCCATTGGAGAGCCTTCCCCTCCAAGTTCATAGCAACCATTTTCACCTTCACATGATTAGGTGCCTCATCCACCTCAAAAAATTGTTCAATCTTGAACAACCATCCCTGGAAATCTTCTCCATGGAATCTAGGAAACTCCAAGCGAGAGAAGCATGTGGGAGCTTGATAACTCCTTTCCTAGGAAACTTCATTGTCAGAGGGAGAGCTCCTTGCAGATTGCCCCCTCCGAGAATGCAATTCTAGTACCAAATTCATGAGAGCCGCCATCTCTTGTTCAAACTGTTCCTTCTACTCCTTCATCATGGCCTTCACGCTCACCTCTAATCTCTTGTTATCCTGAGATCTAGTACCTTCCGCCATTGTTGCTTGAGCTGGTCTCCCCCAGCTCTAATACCATTGATGCGAAAGGTAGTAAAAATCTCAATGCAAGGGATTCCCAATCAGGAGTTGGGAATGAGAAGCCAACTCGAGAGAGAGAACTGATGTTATTAAGAAGCTGGTGAAAGATACAAGATGCAAAATATAGAAAAAAGATTCAACAACCTTTCCCTCCTATCTCTCATGCTTTTATACAGATCTTGCACCGACCTTCTATATCTGTGACTAAGCTCCTTAACCGACTTTCTATTCTGGTAACAACATAATTACTTGTACATCTTGACAAACTATTAAGATACATAATAATTATGTGTCTGTTGTAAAGTTTTACGAGTAGTTCACATGGAGTTACAAACTGTTCAAAGAAAGTTACACTTCCTCATTTTGTAACAGTTGTTTCTAACTAGTGACAAGCAATTATGAGGGCCATGGTGAAACTCTTACTATCACTGGATTTTTTTATTGAAGAAAAGAAATGAAATTTGTACAAATTATGGGAAGCTTTAAATTTAAGGTTTAATGTTAATCATGCAACTTGACAAATTATGCAATTCATTATGTTATATATACAAATATCATATATCACCTACGTTAAATTCATAATTGATTGCATGTTTAGAATTTTTGCCTTTTGTTTCCTCGTTTTAGGATAGGAACTCATGGTCCGATACTTACCATCCAAAATTTTTTCTATCACAACTCTCTTATTCCGACTAGTCCCTTTAAAGAGAAATTGCTAAAAGTGTTACAACTGTGTCCAATCAACTTCAAACTAAAGTGGTATTACAGTTGTGCTGGAGGTAACTCTCTATACCCGACCCCTTAAAGCTTTTTTCATATTCGGCTCTTTTGAGGGACATATAGATGAACTTTATGGTTCAATTTGTAAAATTTAAGAAATTGAGGGGGTCAATAGGTAGCTGTGGAAACTTCAACTTTGGGATGAATTTGATTTAGGATTTCCTTCCAATCTTTCAAAATTTTCTTCTCTTCTCCCTCTAAATTCTCTACTTATTCTTACTTGAGTCTGGGTTTTTTTGGTCTTTGATAGTTGATCCATCAATGGAGTTGTTCTTCATGGGTTGACAATGTAAAGATTTTTTTTTTGTGGCCATCAGATTAGACGTTCTTCACATGCAAAAAAATTGGTGCTCGTTATCAGTTAAATGAGTTCAGTTGATCCATCAATGGAATTATTCTTCACAATTTCCATTTTTTCAACAGTGGTCTGTTCAGTGCATACCTCAACTATATTTGCCACTTACTGGACTGACTTTGTGCTGAAACTTTGGACAGAATAGTCTTTGGCAGATGAAATAATTATCTTTGTAAACCATGAGGAGACAGCTGTTCACTTTCCTGCACAGAAAATTGTTGTTGGCACCTACAAAATTTTTGGTTTAGACATTGATCAAAATCGAAGTTGCGTATTATGTGATCTAAATTCTAAGTTGTGAACCAGAAACAAGAAGAAATATGTAGGCCTTTGGCTAGGCAGTTAGGCCAATGTGCGATCTGCACTTGGTTTTAGTTCCTTGCGCTTACAGCCCTTCTTCTGTAGTTGGAATCCTCGGTATCATTAGCTGGTGCTAAGTTCAGTGATAAGTCCACTTATCACGTGATGATAAAGGAAACTTGAGTTAAATCAAAGAAATTTGATTTATTAAAAAATTAAAAAGTATGTGACAATTTAAATAAACATAATATTTGACATAAATATAGAAGTGATACTGAGGATCCCGTGTGCTTCTTCTGAAAGATTAGGATAATTAGAAATCTGTAGTTAATTTGTTTTCTTGCAAAGTAAGTTACATTGGCAATATACTAGAGTAGAAAACAGTCTGGAGCTACGCTTATTAATGTGGGTTTGACTTTGTACATTATCACTGTGTAAAGTGTAACTGAATTGTGCAATGCAATTCAATCTTTGCAAAGTATTGATCATGAAGTCCAAGATTTTAGCATGCCTTCATTTGTTAAGCATGAGGACTCACTTGTGTGTTTACTATTTAGAGATGGATGCAAGTGTTTGATGTCATAGTGTTCATCAACCCTGTCGACATCAAATATCTCAGATAGAAGAATGATGGTAAGGAATGGGAATCAAGAGCAGATCCTGTTTTGGCCTGACGACGACGCCAAAGACCTCAGCTATGTCTAGTTGTTCTTGCTGCAGGTCATTATTAGGGAGCTTCCAATCAAAGTGGTAGAGCAGTTGAGCAAGAGGTAGCTCGATGACAGGAACAGCAAATGATATGCCAGGGCACATCCTTCTTCCCCCACCAAATGGTATGTAATTGAAAGTTGTTCCCTTGAAATCGATTTCAGAATCAAGAAACCGCTCTGGGAAGAATTTCTCAGGTTCCCTCCAGTGCTGCGAATCTCGACCAATTGCCCAAGCATTAATAAGGATTCTTGTGTTGACAGGGATTTCATATCCCTGAATTTCACATTTCTCACTACATTCCCTTGGAAGTAATAGTGGAGCAGCAGGGTGCAATCTCAAAGCTTCTTTAATAACGGCATGCAAGTATTTCAATTCATGAAGTCGCGACTCATCAACATTACCCATTTCACCATAAATTTGTCGTACCTCATCTTGTGCTCTTCTGAATACTGTTGGATTTTTAATCATTTCAGCCATTGTCCATCCCATAGTTGTTGGCGACGTCTCCCCACCAGCAGCAAAAATATCCTAAACAGAATGTGCAACTTCAAGTTCAGTTGATGGAGAAAGGAGGGTAAAACCAGATTAATATCATTCATATGGATATATTAGGTGCTATATTTAAATTGGAAGTGGAATTGAAATGTGTCCTAAGAAAAATAACTGTGTTTAAAAGGATCGATATTAGCTCCATTACTATTGCTGGTCTCATTAAAAACAAAACACAACCTATAAGAAAATGTTTAAATTGAATCTATGGAGGTGAAAAAGGAACTCGCTTACAAATATGACTGCCTTGATATTATTGTCGGCAAGTGGAGCTCCAAATTCCCCAGATTGTTGAACATTTAGAAGAACGTCAAGCAGATTCTGCTTTGCTTCTCCATTTTCAGGTTTCCATTCTGCTCTTTTGACTCTGTGCTCATTGAGAATGTTTTCAAGTACTTCATCAATCTTTTTGTGTAACGTCTCCAGCTTATGCCTAATTCCAGTAATTCTCTCGAGAATCTTGAAAGAAGGGTACATGTCCATGATGCTAAACCCTGACATCAACATCACAACATCGTCCATAAGTGACAAGAACTCGTCATGGTATTTACTTCTCTTGCCAAAAGCAGCCCGAGTAGTGATGCTCAATGTCAGAGAGCGCAACTTCGCCGTAAGATTGACAACTGCTCCCTCTTGTGAAGAGATTGATTTGATCATATTTAAGACTTCATCTTCCCTTAGTGATCGGAACGTCTGGACACGCCTTGCAGTTAGGAGCTCCATCGTGCAAATCTTGCGTAGTTGTCTCCAATAATCGCCGCATGGAGAAAAGCTAATATCAGTATTATTGTAAAAGAGTATGGTTGATGTAAGAAGAGTGGGCCTATTAGCAAACAAGGCATCAAATGTATTCAGAAAATCTTTTGCTGCATCTGCAGAAGATACAACTACAGTTGAAACTTCACCAAGTTGAAGATGCATCAAGGGTCCATATTTCTTGGCCAAGTCTGCTAGGATTCGATGAGGCAGCGAGCCGATAAGCTGATGCATGTTGCCTATTATAGGCAATTTTCTTGGCCCTGGTGGAAGCTTCACAGTCTTGGATTTCTTTACAATTTTGACTAACATCAAACAGAAGAGGAAGAAAGCACCTAGGAAAAAGAAAAGATCCATGAGGATGGGGAAAAATTCTGGGATGCTCCTGGCTTAGAGCAGAAATGATCTAAAGTACTGAGATCTCATTGTGGTTAAACTATTCTAATTTATAAACGTCTTCTCAGATTTAGAAAAATCCAAATAGCTGCTAAGTGATTAAGACAAGTCAACAGAAGTACCGTATTGTTTATGATTGTTTGGCTTAAATAACTAATGTTGATTGTTTACGAGGCGGCGGCTTTCAGTGGACACACAAATAGAAAAAATTTACTTTAGTTTAAGGATTGATATACGCAATTATAAGACCTAAGAGGCAAGCTGCACGTTCATACTTTCGCAAATCATTAATGTATGGAACTTATGTGCATAGAAAACCCAACTAGTCAACTCATTTGGCCTTATAGATGTAGTCACCATCAAAGTGATGCACTGTGTCAGTTACTTTTATTTTATCAGTCATCAACTGCATTACAGACGCCTGTGTATTGACATTCTAACGAAAAACAATTATTTTTTTTTTTGAAAAACATAGCAATTACTAGGATCAAAAGTAGGGTAAAATTTTAACAACCGTTTCGTGATGTCATCTATTGTCACATAACCCCTGACATTTCAAGATATCCATTCAGGTTTCATGTAAACTGAAAATTTAACGGAAAATGGTTTATGTAATATCATTAATTGAAAAACCAGTAATGTGCTTAAATGTTAAATCAAATGACGACTTAATCTCTTCGTACAAATTCATATGGGGATTACATAGATAAATGCAATCAAACACTGAGAGTGGAGGGAGATAAAGTGAATATTTATGCAAATTATAGGAGTATTAAGTGGATATTATGATTTCATCACATGCACTTTTAGAGCACGTGTGGTCTACTTGCCTTAACTGATTACCTTAATTGATTATGTTATTTATGTATCACGTCTATTTTCCACTCTACATAAAATCACAAGAGCTTATATGGCTATTTTGAAACTTTACAAAAGACCACAAGGAGGTTATGCAAAACCATAGGGGGTTATAAGTAATTTATCCTAAAATTAAGACCTTGTTTGGATTGCAATTTTCAACAAAAAATTTTTACTTTTTTCCTGAATATATTTTTCTTTTCAATCATCTCTTTAACTCATATACATTGAATTTCTACACTATATATATATATATATATATATATATACAAAAACCCCCAAAAATAGCATCCAAACAAGTTCTAAACTTTCAAAAGTTTTGTACCTAAAAGTATAAAATTTCTTCGCCAGTGGGGGTACCAAAGATTTGCTCCACCCTTGTTGCTACATATCTTATTCATCTAATAAAAAAGAATCTACATATCTTATTTTAATTACCTATATTCTCTTTCCCAAGTGATATGTTGTTTAAATACTTGAGTTTTACCCATATTTGTATCCAACTCTTTTATAATTAATTTTTCTTACAATTTCTCTCTCTTCTAACAACTTTATCTTTTTTTTTTAATAAATTTCAATTATTTGTTCTTGTAGTTCCTCTCTCTTCCAACAGTATCATGTTTTTTGATAAATTCATATGGATTAACTAGTTTTAAAAAAACTTTAACAATTATACCAATAGATTTACCAATGTTTGTTGAAAACTGAATATTCGTTTATAAAGAAATTAAATTATTAGATCCTTTGCACTTAATACGAATATGTAGTTCTAGATTTATGGTCATTATAATAATTTTAATTATCTAAAAATGTAGCTATAAAAAATATCTATCTATTTTTTTGACATATGTTACAATATTTGATGAATACTATTTTGTTATAGTAAAATTATGTAATGAAGTTTTTAAAAATGAATTAATCTTGTACACATTGATAGTGTATATACTATCACCATTAGACATATGACACAAAAATAAAATTTGAATTTAAAATTCAGATTTAAATTAGTTATAATTTATCTAATGGTGAAAATGTATACAATGTTAGTGTAGAGAATATTAATCTTTTAAAGCTAGTATGATAGTTAAAGTTAAACATTTAGAATATGGGCATGTTCTCAACTGATTTTGATTTTATAAAAGTTGATTTTATAATTGAAAATTAGATTTTCTTAGAATAGCTGATGTGGTCTCACTTACTGTTATAAAATCCATCGTTAATAAATGCATAGGTGTTCTCAGAAAAAAGTTAAAAAGTTGATTTTGCCAAAAAGATCAGCATGTTACCTGATATACTACATAAATGAATTGTTGTACTAATTAAATAGTTTTTGATGTAATTAATTACTTGTTTTATGAAGATTAAATGATGGATGATCAAAACAAGGGACACATAGATGAATTTGGTAATGAAATGAGAATAGGAACAAAACAGAAAGTCCATACAAAGTTATCTAATCTTGAGGTAATTTAGTAATTATGTTAAAATTTGAAGGATAATTTGTAAATAGACTGCATGAATAAATGTATTTGCCTATGATTATTATTCTCATAAATGGATTAATGTTCTATACACTATCATTGTCAAGATTTTTTTTACACTAATAAGTATAGATATATGGCACATGCACAAGATGTGAATTTAAAATTTGAATAGTGATAACGTGGTATTCATCGAAAGTTACTTGTGTAAAAAAAATCTTTACACTAATAATATATAAAATTTAGGATTTTTTCTAACGGGTACCCATTGGACGCTCGTTAACACATCTAAAGTTCACTTAACTTATCATATATATATATATATATATATATATATATATATATATATATATATATATATATATACTAACAATTATTATTCTCCATAATACTTATATATTTTTTATATTTAATCTTACCTACTGTCACCTATATTTACATTTTCTAATTAATCTTACATTTAAAAAAATATGGCACCTAAAATATTAGATCACATATTTCTTCGATTTGGTTAAATTTTCAGTCGTCAGCATCAGAAATTATATTCGATGGGGAAATCAACAGCGGTCATCACTCGCCGCTTCTCTTTTCGGTCGTCAAAGTCCAGATGGATAATCTTTTGGCAAGTTCTTCAGTGTATGCTTGACAAGTGATGAAGAAAATAACTAAATAACTAAATTATCCTTATTTTCTCGTGCAGACATTTAAAAAATGACTAAATAAAATTTTACACCTGCAATTTTAGTACTCAAATTTAGATTTTCTTAGTACTCAAACTTTAATACTAAGAAAATTTAGTTATTTTGGATGACTTGAGATTTTCTTAGTACTCAAAATTTAGAAGTACAACTACACAAAAAGGCGAATAAATAACTCAGGCAACTAACAATCAGATTTGATAAAAAATATATATATATATATATATATTTAAAAACAAAAAGCATTCATAAAAGTCAACAAACCACTAAAGCAAACAATAAAACAAAGGAAATACCAATCACAGCAAAGCATTGAAGAATTCTGAGCAAAGTCAGCCACCAAAACCAATAACAAAACCCCCCACAAAGCTAACAGCAGATACAAAGGCAGCGAAATCAGCAAACAAAGATAAACATAGAAAACCATACTCACCGATCAAAGAAACGCCAACAGACAAACGCGCTGCAATTCTTGAAGCAAAAAGCACCCACTTCAGTTACAAAACAAACCAAAAATAAGTGGCCGATTCTATTGAGTTTGAATCTCAATTGAAATCCAATTGCCAACTCTCTCTTTTAGTATAGGTAAGATTGATGATCTGATTTTGTAAGTTTCATTGAATCCAACTAAGTATTACAAGTAATTAGCTTGGCAAAATATTCATTGAGATTGAATTGCTAGGTGATTCTCTTGTGTGTTTTTCTGGTGCCAAATATGACAATTGCTGTTTTGTTAGGCAATTTTCTTTTATTTTTTTGGGTTCGGCAGTTCAGTTGTATATGGTATCTATCCTGGTGTTTAGATAGGCATAATTTTCTCGGGGATAATTTCAGAAACCTCCCATGATGTTTCTAATTATTTTACTCGCCTCTCTCTGGATTTCAAAAATTACACTAACTTCTCCCGAGGTTAATTATTTTGTAACATTTAGACCCAATTGATAATTAAAAAATAATATTAGGGGAGAGAAGACAATATAATTCCGCCATTGTCCCTCATCTACTACATTATTTGATTCATTTAATACCAACCTACACATTAAATTAAAACGATAAAATTTGCTATTTATTATTAGGGATTAAATCACATATAGTATCAAAAAATAGTATATCATATTATATTTTTCGCTTAATACAAGATTAAATTACTCTTTTTAGTTATATACCCATTGTCAAACATGATCAACAACAAATAATCGAAAAATTTGTAACCAAAATATTATAGAAAACAAACTTTAACATCATAAACATTCTTGTCATGAATTTTATGGTATTAAAATTCGCTTTTTGTAATATTTTGATTACAATTGATTATTTATTTTTGATCGTGTCTGATGATGAGTTGATAACTGAAAACAGCAATTTAGATCTTAAATTAAACAAAATATATAATGATATACTATTTTTAATGCCATATGTGATTTAACCTTTGATGATAAATAGTAAATTCTAGTATTTTCTTTAATATTTAGATAACTATTAGATTAATTAAACAATTTAGTAGATGGGGGCAATTATGAAATCATATTATTTTCTCTCCTTTAATATCGCTATCACTTTTTAATTATTGGTTGGACCCAAATGTTACACAATAATAAACCTCAAGGGAAGTTAGTATACATTTTAAAATTTAGAGGGAGGCTAGTGAAATCATCCCAATTTTCCGGTATGCTAACTCTTAAAACGTAGATGATGACTTCTTTGAGACTGCTGATCATCAGCATGCAGGCAAAATTCTGTTCTCTTCTCAAGGTTACAGACATGGCCAAAGTTAACATGGCACTTTAAGACCAAGGGTTTCGAGTCGGGTCACCTGTGACCGCCCTTTCTCGGCCATTCTTTGGGATATACCAGACTTTGAGATTTTATTTTAAAGTGGAAAAGCCTTTTGTCGTACTAGTAATGGAATGGAACACGTGCTTTGTACGTCATGATGTTTTTGTCATTTTTATTTTTTGAATTTTAAATTAATTATTTTGACAGAATAAATGTAATTGAAACAAAAAAAATTATCATTAATATTTAAAGTATTTTATATTCTTTTATGAATTTGGTTTGCTTTCACCAATACAAATTAAGCCCTTCAGTATCCTATAAGCACTTTTATTTAGTATCACTGTCCATTAAATTTGGATGACCTTTTAAATTTTTCTTTTTTTTTTTAAGCAGGGGAGGGGTGAAATTTTAAGAAGTACGGAGGGAGTAGCGAGATTAGAATAAAAAATCTCTATATTTTGTGGCCAGACTAAGGCCTCCTCAATTAGATTTGGGCGATTTAAATGTTCTTTTCTTCGTCACTTGAGTTGAATTTTTCAAAATTTGATTAATTTCTTGTTCCTCAACGCCATTCCTTGGTTTTACTTTTAGTGATTTTTTTTTTTTCCATTTTCTACTGTTAATGATGGATTGAAGACGATCCATAGTGTTATTTGAGTTATGACACTATTTCAATTGTATTGAAATCTCATTGCCTAAGTTTTGATTGCCCAAATAGCATAACTTCGAGGAGAAATATTTTGATTTGGTGAAACCTATTTGTATTTCTAGTTGATGACATGCTTTATCATTATAGAGCTTCATGATTCAAAATTGTAAACCATTAGGTTTGTTGCTATATGATAGTCAAACAAATGAGCTAGCTGAATATGTTTTAGGTCATGTTTGAAGTACTATTTAAATTTAGATATTTTAAAATAAAAGTTGTTCTTCATTTTTTTTTTCCTTAATTCACCATAATTCAGAGGGAATTTTCATTTTTATAACTGTTAATATGATTGACATTGATTGAAATAATAAAAAAAAAGGATCAAGTTTTGTTTGCACAGTACACTTAACCATCAAACTCATGCTACTTTTAAAGAGAGTCCAACCCAATGCACCAATATTCATCTCAAATATAACCCATTATTATATTCATTGATTGTATTGTAATACTGGCAGTAGCTACAAGAACATCCATTGTAAAGTTCAATAAATTAACTATAATAAAAAGCTCCCAAACCTAAAACTCTTTGTCCAACCCTTGCACTCCATCTCTTATTATATCTTATGTTAAAGTTTCTTATTCAGTACTGTCATAAATATGAGTACCAAAATGGTGCTATTTTTATGAAGACTCATGGTACCGATATTGTATTTTGATTCATGGTACACGTACTCTTTGAAATTGAATATTTTGCAAATAAAATTTGTTCTTTTTTGGCTTGATGACATCTCCCTGGCGGCAAAGAACATTTCCTACGCATAATGAGTAACTTCAAGTTTAGTTGATGAAGGAAAGGTAACCAGATTATCAGGTACTACTCATTGATATCACTCATATAGGTATATTTGCTGCTCTAATTCAATTGGAAGTGGAATTGAAATTGTATCTTAAGAAAAAGTAGCTATGCCCTAATTAAAGGATCCATATTAGCTCCACTAATATTCCTGTTCTGATGATAAAACTAAACGCGACCTAAAAGAACATGTTTAAAATTCTCTTTGTCGCAAACTGCTACTACCGCACAAACCATAGCAAAGAATCAAAAGATAGAATTGTATGTTTGTTCGACTATTGGATTTTAGAAAGCCTATTTGAAGTCCAGTTATACAATAAATAATGAATATGCCACACCAATTTTTTATGCATGAATGTCGAGATTTCTTTAATCTAGAGCCGATTGGAGTTGTCTTGTTGGAGGGTCTTAAGCCAGCTTTGTCCCTTCTGTTTCCACTAATCCTTTTCTTAATTTGATTTATTAGATAAGAACAATTACAACCAAAGAGCTGTTTATGATGATTTGATCCAGAGATGCATCAGTTAATTTACTTTGCCCGGATCTGTAGTTCTTATGTCCCTGATCTGATTTAAATAAGAGTAAAACCAATGAACTTCTGACATTCCAAAGTACTTGAAAGAAATAAAGAACAGTTACCAATTGCCATTTGCTTATTGACTTGAAATGTAGTTCTTACGCTGACGGTTGGAAAGAGCCTACTCCATTAGATCAAACGATATTCAAATGGGAAATAAATTATATTATTGCTCGTCATTGATCAGACAAGTTTACTTCATCCATCAATGGACTCGTTCTTGACAATTTCCACATTCTAATTAGAGGTTTGTTCAATGCATTACTCAACCACAATTACCACTTACTGACATTAGGAATATGCTTTTCTCGGATGACTGTACTGAAGTGACCTTTTTTAATTTTATCTTTTAGATTCATTGAATTGCATCTTACGTTCCAAAAATAGTTTTGGATTGGAAGTCCAGATTTAGCACTACTAAAGCAGCGACAAAATCTGATCTGTAAAAGTATATGTCCTGGGACTATCGTTTGCACAATTTTTGTGTCACTTTGATTGGAGCTCAGCAGTAAACTGAAACAGCAACAACTGGAAATTTTATGGAGACCCCATGATAAATTGCATTGGAATTATACTAGCAAACAATCTGGAGCCATGCATTTTAGTGGGAGATTGATATTATACACAATGGTTCCGTGATATTTTTACTCTAGTGAGTTTTGATCTTCTCCATCTGTGAATAAGAAATCAAACAAATTCAAATGTACTACTTGTTAAGCATCTAACTCGCTTGTGCAAAACATAATTTGCAGTGATAATAAGTAATACTTTAGATTAACTTTCGGACAGTTTTTAAAGTCATAGCATTCATAGACCATGGTGGATGACAAATTTCTCAGAGAGAAGAAGGGTGGTAAGGAGTGGGAATCAAGAGGAGATCCTGTTTTGGCCTGACTGTGACGCCAAATACCTCAGTCATGTCTAGTTGTTCTTGTTCTAAGTCACCAGGGAGCTTCCAATCGAAGTGGTAGAGCAGTTGAGCAAGAAGTAGCTCGATGTTAGGAAGAGCAAATGATATGCCAGGCACATCCTTCTTCCCGCTCCAAATGCTATGTAATTAAAAGTTGTTCCCTTGAAATCGATTTCAGAATCAAGAAACCGCTCTGGAATGAATTTCTCAGGCTCAGTCCAGTAGTCTGGATCTCGACCAATTGCCCAGGCATTGACAAAGACTCTGGTTTTGACCGGGATTTCATATCCCTGGATTTCACATTGTTCGCTACATTCCCTTGGAAGTAACAGTGAAGCAGCAGGGTGCAATCTCATAGCTTCTTTAATAACTGCTTGCAAGTATTTCAATTCATGTAAATCGCGACTCATCAACATTGCCCATTTCACCATAAATTTGTCGTACTTCATTTTGGGATTTTTTAATAGTCTTGGGTTTTTAATCATTTCAGCCATTGCCCACGCCATAGTTGTTGACGACGTCTCCACGCCGGCAAAGTACATTTCCTAGACAGAATGAGTAACTTCAAGTTTAGTTGATGGAAATAGGAGAGTGAACCAGATTATAATGTAGCACTCATTGATATCGTTCATATGGCTACATTTGGTGCTATATTTAAATTGGAAGTGGAATTGAAATGTATCCTAAGAAAAGTAGCTGTGTTCTATAGGATCGATATTAGCTCTACTACTATTCCTGGTCCGATTAAAAACTAAACACAACCTATAAGAAAATGTTTGATTTGAGTCTGCAGAGGTAAAAAAAGGACTCACTTACAAATATGACTGCCTTGATGTTATTGTCAGTAAGTGGAACTCCAAATTCCCCAGATTGTTGGATATTTAGAAGAACGTCAACTAGATCCTGCTTTGCTTCTCCATAACCAGGTGTTGATTCTGCTCTTTTGACTCTGTGCTCATTGAGAATGTTTTCAACTACTTCATCAATCTGTTTGTGTAACCTCTCCAGTTTATGCCTAATTCGAGTAATTCATTCGAGAATCTTGAAAGAAGGGTACATGTCCGTGATATTGAACCCTGACAGAAATATCGCAACATCGTCCATAAGTGACACGAACTCATCATGGTATTTGCTTCATTTACTAAAAGCAGCCGATTAATGATGCTAAATGTCAGAGAAGACAACTTCGCTGTAAGATTGATAACTGATCCCTCTTGTGCAGAGATTGATTTGATCATATTCAAGACTTCATATTCCCTTATTGATCGGAACATTTGGACACACCTTGCACTCATGGTTCGAAGACTCGGCCGAGTCGTCACCGTCTCGATCTTCGCCGATACGATATCGTGACGAAACGATACCCAGATACTCAACTCACCGAGACGTCACCGTGAAGGGTTGAAACGGCTGAATCACACCGAATCATTCTGAGTCATTCCGAATCAACTCGAATTTTTATTATTTTTACTAATTTTTAATTATTTTTGTTTATCACATTTTTACAATTTTTAGAATATTAAATATTTCAAAAATTCGTGTCTTGTCGAGACCGCGACCGATATGCCTAAACTGATGTGAAACGGTCCAAACTGTGACCGCGACTTTGAATCATGCTTGCACTTAGGAGCCTCCAACATGCAAATCTTGCGTAGTTGTCTCCAGTAATCACCATATGGAGAAAAGACAATATCAGTATTCTTGTAGAAAAGTATGCCTACTAGAAAATATGGTTGTTATGACACAATTATAGTTGAAACTTCACCAAACTGAAGATGCAACAAGGGTCCATATTTCTTGGCTAAGTCTGTGACAGGGGTCGAGCCTGTGGAATAATAAATACCTGCTCAAATAAAATATAATTTCTGTAGATAGTGATAAACAGGGTCGAATCCACAGGGACTGGGGATAATTCGTTTCTTCTAGAGTTCAAAGTATGGGGGGATTTTTGGATTAAATGCTAACTAAATAAATTAAATGCAGAAAATAAATAAAAGAAATAATTATTGGAGAAACTCTAGCCAAGGGTACACTTCAGAAATGGTTCATGTACTGATAATTGATTCACAGATAATTCTAACATTTATTAATAGATTAGTTATAGTTGTCATGCACGCGATAAACAACCAACCTTTCCTTACTTTTCCGATGTTAAGGTACGACCGTTAACTATTTTTCTAACCAAAAAACAACCCTAGGTACGACCGTAGGATTTAATTTCTAGATTGCATTAAGAATTAGAAAGGCCCAATCCTAACTAACAAACACGCTAAGAGGGTTTATTTAAATTAGATCGTATGTTCCCCTGACATAAACCCAATTACGCCAGTTGCTACTGAGATAGAGATAACGAACAATTACGGATTCAATTACCCCTAATTAGCACAATAGCCTACGTGAATAATTAAATATTGCGCATTTATTCAATCATACACGATAGCTATAACAACAATTAAAAGTAAAAAACATACGAATACCAATAAATGGAGGGAGCAGTTAAAATAAATTAGATCTCACAGTAATTGTTGAACCAAATCTTCAGTTGTCCCCTTGACTAGCAGTGTAAAATTAGTTCTCCGTTAATGGAGAACAAGCCATGCAAATAATTGTTCCAAGCTTTTCCGTTGTTTCTTTCTACCAAAATCGGCTAAGCAAAAAAGTCAAGGCCAAGAGTACCAGCCGAATTGTTGTTTGATAAAAAGAAAAACTGCAGGGAACAAAGGATTGGCCAAAAGGCCAAAAGGCTCTGCCGACTTCTGCTTTGCGGCCGACCCCGCAAAGATAATAAGAAGTCCCCAAATGCGTTGGTGGCTTCCTCCTAATCACACGGAACCCGACTTTCTTTTTCTCCTTAGTTTCCTAATGGAAAAATACTACCAAAAAGAACTAGTTTCCTAAATAGCAAAATAAACCACAAAAGAAAGTATTTCAAGCTCCCTAATTCAACAATAAGACTAGTAATTAGAATTCAAGTCTTCCAAATCTTCCTCTAAAGCTGCCCAGAGTTTGAATCGAACTTGGAAATCGATCCCGAACGTGCCACCATCAAATTAATTAGAAGATTGCCCCTTTTTGTCACGTTTTGCTCTTTTTCCTACAATTTAGCATCATTAACCAAATATAAGTAGAATCCATCAATTAACGCAATATTTGACTTGAATAAAAGGAGAAATAATTATGAATTAAATGACAATTTCACACCCTATCAATTTCCCCCACACCTAAATTAAACCATGCTTGTCCTCAAGCATGAGAACAACAAATCAAGCAAATAAAATCAAACAATGGCTATTGTTCAAATCTTCTATTGTCAAGATACAATTAAAACATATGTCAAGTATTAGTGGTAATTTTTCAAGCAATATCTCTCCAGTTAGCTTTCAAGATTAAGGACTCTTCCAATTCATGACTAACTAATCTAAGAATATAAAATATTCAACCAGCATCCATAAGCAAATGGTTCGACTATCAAGCCAAATCTCAACATTAAAATTCATGAATCAGTGGACTAACAATTCATTCAAGCACTTTCACATTTTTCACTATTAGCATTTTTTTTTCTAAAATATCCTCATGCTTGATTGATTTTTTTTTTTCCGGGGGAATGCTTAGTTTTTAGCAATTCAAGCATTTTGACGCGAACTCCGACATTGGCCAAATGAAGGAGCCCGGTTACTCAGCTATCATCGCTTAAAAACCACATACTCATAGCTATCGTCACTTTTTGACGCGAAAGTCGACACTTGTGGTAAAGACTCCCGGTTACTAGGCAACGATACTAGCGGAGTATAGCCTAATACTATTCATAAATAAGCACCAAAAATAAAATGAAATACCACACAAACCCGCTTCATTTCTTAAACATGGAGAACTAAGATTAATAGCTAAACCAATTTGCACAAAAAAAATGCTAGACAAATATTTACAATACTTAGAAAAGTTAACCAAAAAGTGCAAAAGTCACAAAATCTCAAACATTCACCCGAAAGATACCCTTAAAATCAACCATGTCATACTCAACACCTTAAAGTGTAAAATCTTAGCAATAGAAAAATTTGAGACATCTAATCATCGTTTATCAGGAATAATCACAAATAAGCACAAAGATAGGCAAAAATTGGACAAAATTCGACAAAGTCAAACAAAAAATTTCAACAAAAATGCCTACACTTATACTTTTTCAATAAAATGCCAATATACTACCCTCCCACACCTAAATCTTGCATTGCCCTCAATGTAAGCAAAGAAAGAGCAAAACAGAGATATTGGGGCAACGACACTTCCCTTAAAAAGGAGGAGGGCAGAACTGAACTACGGCTAGGGAGGGAAATGCAGGCGGAAACCCACGTGATGGAGATACTGTGTTAAATTCTGGGCCATCCCGCCCATTTGACGCTCCATCCACTCCATACGAGTGTCCATGTGCTGCATCTGGAGCCGAAGGGCTGCAAGCTGGCTATTGGCGGAAGAAGACGGTGGAGGTGCCGCAGAGGACAGTCCGGGGTCCTCCCGGTCCAGTCGAGGGGGCAGATCCACTCAAGGGGACTGTGGGCTGTGGGGTTGAGATGGAAAGTTTGCTCTTGCCTTTGTTCTTGGGTTTGGTCATTGGATATCAGTGGACAAGACAAAGGCAAAGTAATGGTGTTCAAAATATGTCAACAAACAACCAACAAGGCAAATGATCCCCAGTCACAACTCCCAATCACAAACAAGTGCAGAAACGGATAATATACTCACCCCAAAAACTAATTAAACCTGTGAACGACAAATTTTTCCCAAATACTACCAGTTCAACCCAAAAATCAATTAATTAGATAAACACAGCAAAATTCCCCCAAAAACTAATTAAACAGGCAATTAGAGTAAAAACTTTCCCCAAATATCACTAGTTAGGCACAACGTTAACCAAATAATCAACAATCAATTCACAGATATGTCACAGCACCCAAACAAGCACAAATTTTCTGTCCTCAGCTAGCAAATCAAAAATCTGACCTCAGCTAAGAAATTAAAATCTGGCATCAGCTAATAAAAGCTAGTAATCTGGCCTCAGCTACTTAGTGACAGAAAAATAAAGAAAGAGTTCACCGGAGGTTTGGAGTAGGTAGTGGATGACAGTGAAGAGGGGCGCGTGAAGACTTGCGTGCGATGGCAGGGAGAAGCGCACGGCTGGAGCTCGCCTGGGAGCTGGGGTGCAGGCGCACGTCAGCCTGCGGATGGCTGTTGCAGCTGCTGGTGCTCTGGTCGCGCGACTGGAGTGGTGCGCGGGCTGGTGGAGATCGAGCGGTGGCAACGAGGTGAGGTGCGGCGGCGGACCAAGCAAAAGAAAGGAACGAAGAAAAGAAAGAAAAGAAGGAAGAAGAAAGAAGAAAGAAAGAAAAAGAAAAGAAAGAAAAGAGTAGGGTTTCGTGTTCTTTTTTTTATTATTTTTTTAATATTTTTTTATATTTATATATATATATATATATATATATATATATATATATATATATATATATATATTTTTTTTACAAAGAAACCCAGTCTTAGGCGTGGGCACGCCTAACCGCCCTCTAATCTTTTCCATCCGTCGAAAATTCTCGATCCGTTAGCGTGACCACCTAGCGTGGGCACGCTCAACTGCTATAGAGTCCTCAGATCCTGAACGAAAATTTTTTCTCCTCAGGCGTGACCACCTGGCGTGGGCACGCTTAACTGCTATAGAGTCTTCAAATCCTGAACGAAAATTTCTTCCCATCAGGCATGACCACCTGGCGTGAGCACGCTTAAGCCAATTTCCTGCCACCAAGCAACAAATCACTAAATGCAACTAACACTTAACAAAAACTCCAAAAATATAAGAAAATTAAAACAAAAGCCTTGGGTTGCCTCCCAAGCAGCACCTTTCTTTAATGTCATTGGCTAGACATTGTCCTGTTTATTCATGGAGGATAAAATCGCGTAACTCGCTTCAGTGCTTCATCTTCTATGTAATCCTGATAGCCCTCGTAAATAGAGTAATTTTTGAGCACACGAGCTACGGTCTTCCATGGACTAGTAGATGGCGCCAAACAACCAAGTAATGACATTAAATCTTCATTCACTCCTCCATCACAAGCACTTACTGGTTTGAGATATTTTGCCATCGTGACTCTTAAATTGTTCCTGTCATGAAACTCAAAATTTTCTGGTATAATAAAATCAATCTCACTAACAGGAATTAAAGAATAAGAGTCAGGAAAATATTGATTAAGGAATGGAGGAGATGTCACCGCATTTGGAGATTGTTCACTGGATTCATTCACTTGAACCATTTGATGTTGGGGTCTCAATTCTTGCGCTTCAATTTTCTTTTCAACTGTATCTTTAGATTCTTCTTTTTGAGACCCTTGCAGTACCATGTCATTTGTCAGAATAATTGCACTCTCATCTTCCTCATGGTCGATAATAGTCGGTGAGGGCAATTCTTCATAAACTGGAGAAATCAATTTGCTCATTTTAGATGCCCATTCATGCCTTCCTTCTTTCATCTCTTCACTCATCTTTTGTGTCTCCTGTTGAAGTTGATATACCTCCTGTTGAATTTGATATGTGTTAGTAGCTATTAATTCAACTATTTTTTCAAGAGACATACCTGACATGAATGACGGTTCTTGAGACTCTAGCTGTTGAAAATCTATTGGCATTTGTTGATAATTAAAATTGGAATCATCCCACCATCCTTGCTCATACCCATTTGAATAAGGGTCATACCACGTTTGAGACCAGGGTGAAAAATCTCCATAATTATTGAGTGGGACACACAGATTATCTTGATATTCGGGGCACATACCGGTTGAATGATCCCTGGCATAACAAATTTTACAAGTTGCAGCAGCCATTCTTTCTCTAATAGAGTTTAGTGCCTCTGAATATGCAAACTTAGCAAAAAAACAAGCCTCATTGCCTTCCCTGGAAACAAAATCCAGTCTATCACCAAAATACGGAGTGTTAGCAGCCATAAACTAGTAAAGAAAAAAAAAAGAAGAAAAAAAAATAAGAGGGAAAAAAATGGAATTGAAAATAAAATGAACTCAAAAAGAAACAAATTAAATAGGCACCAGTCCCCGGTAACGGCGCCAAAAATTGACAGGGGTCAAGCCTGTGCAATAATAAATATTTGCTCAAATAAAATATAATTTCTGTAGATAGTGATAAGCAGGGTCGAATCCACAGGGATTGGGGATAATTCGTTTTTTCTAGAGTTCAAAGTATGGGGGGATTTTTGGATTAAATGCTAACTAAATAAATTAAATGCAGAAAATAAATAAAAGAAATAATTATTGGAGAAACTCTAGCCAAGGGTATACTTCAGAAATGGTTCATGTACTGATAATTGATTCACAGATAATTCTAACATTTATTAATAGATTAGTTATAGTTGTCATGCACGCGATAAACAACCAACCTTTCCTTACTTTTCCGATAGTTAAGGTACGACCGTTAACTATTTCTCTAACTCAAAAACAACCCTAGGTACGACCGTAGGATTTAATTTCTAGATTGCATTAAGAATTAGAAAGGCCCAATCCTAACTAACAAACACGCTAAGAGGGTTTGTTTAAATTAGATCGTATGTTCTCCTGACATAAACCCAATTACGCCAGTTGCTACTGAGATAGAGATAACGAACAATTACGGATTCAATTACCCCTAATTAGCACAATAGCCTACGTGAATAATTAAATATTGCGCATTTATTCAATCATACACGATAGCTATAACAACAATTAAAAGTAAAAAATATACGAATACCAATAAATGGAGGGAGCAGTTAAAATAAATTAGATCTCACAGTAATTGTTGAACCAAATCTTCAGTTGTCCCCTTGACTAGCAGTGTAAAATTAGTTCTCCGTTACTGGAGAACAAGCCATGCAAATAATTGTTCCAAACTTTTCCGTTGTTTCTTTCTACCAAAATCGGCTAAGCAGAAAAGTCAAGGCCAAGAGTACCAGCCGAATTGTTGTTTGATAAAAAGAAAAACTGCAGGGAACAAAGGATTGGCCAAAAGGCCAAAAGGCTCTGCCGACTTCTGCTTTGCGGCCGACCCCGCAAAGATAATAAGAAGTCCCCAAATGCGTTGGTGGCTTCCTCCTAATCACACGGAACCTGACTTTCTTTTTCTCCTTAGTTTCCTAATGGAAAAATACTACCAAAAAGAACTAGTTTCCTAAATAGCAAAATAAACCACAAAAGAAAGTATTTCAAGTTCCCTAATTCAACAATAAGACTAGTAATTAGAATTCAAGTCTTCCAAATCTTCCTCTAAAGCTGCCCAGAGTTTGAATCGAACTTGGAAATCGATCCCGAACGTGCCACCATCAAATTAATTAGAAGATTGCCCCTTTTTGTCACATTTTGCTCTTTTTCCTACAATTTAGCATCATTAACCAAATATAAGTAGAATCCATCAATTAACGCAATATTTGACTTGAATAAAAGGAGAAATAATTATAAATTAAATGACAATTTCACACCCTATCAGTCTGCCAGGATTCGATAAGTTAGTGAGCCCCTAAGCAGATGCAAGTTGCCGACAATTGGCAGTTTTCTTGGGCCTGGTGGCAGCTTCACAGGCTTGGATTTCTTTACAATTTTGACTGCCATCAAACCAAAGAGGAGAAATGCACCAAGGAAAAAGAGAATATCCATGAGGATTGGGGAAAAAAATTCTGGGACGGTCCTAGCATGGAAAGTTAGAAACTATGCCAAACCACTTACCCCATTTTATAGTCAGATAGCCAGTTGTTGTTATGATGTGTATGATGGCGCCATTGAAAATTTAGTACATTGAGCGCTGTTTCTACAAAACTTGTTTGATAACAGAATTTGCTTACTTATGAATTTATTGAAACTCACTTAATTTGTACATAAAATTTTGAGTGAAAGTTGTATCACTTACGGCAATATTTACAGCAATGTATTATCTCATACTCTTGCACATTTTTACGCATATATGCATACTCTCCCTCACACATTTTCACACATATACATGTATTCTCTTACATATGCACGCTCTCATACACACACATACTCTCCCTCTTCTCTTCGCCCTCCCTTTCACACACACACATGTATACCAATTTCTCTACAACATACAATTTAAAACATAATCATTTTGTCAAACAAACACACACATATATATTCTTCTCTCAAGCAGACACAATTTCACACTAAAACACATACTACTACACACACGCACACGCACACGCAGACGCACACGCAGACGCAAACACACATTCTATATTAGCAAATAATTTATTAGTATTAAGAAGAAATATTTAAGAAACTAATATAATATATAAATATAGTATACTATTACTGTTAAACTATGTAATACACATAGAATAAAATATTTTAATTCAGTGCTCGCATTTAGCTGATTATCAAATAAATTTGTCTATATGGATTCAATAAATTGAAACTCCCCGAAATTGGGCTTCAATTTTCGTATTTCAAACTTCAACTTTTAAGTTGTATCAAATGCCCTCTTATTAATGTTACGTTATTTAGTTATTAATGAGAGGAAAGGTTGGTGGTAATATACATATACAGCAAACTAGACTACTAGACGGGAAGTTGTTGCAAAATCAAGAAGAGTGGTCACTTGTTATAAAAACTAGAGGAGAAGTTAGTGTAACTTACTCTAATACTTAATGTAAATTGCCGAGACTATTCTCTGCCTTTTGTAAATTAGCCACAAGAATAAATGTATTAGCCTGTAATAATTATTAAATTCATGTGGCAAATAAACTGCTGCTACCAGTGATAATTGAGTGTAGTTTATTAGATTACAAAATTTCTCAGGCGATATTAGATCACTTAGTCCTTGGATTTGGTTAAATTTTCAGTCGTCAGCACAGAAATCATATTCGGTTGAGAAATCGACATCAGTCATCAAAGTCCGGATGACAATCTTTTGGCAGGTTCAGTGTCGGCTACACCAGTGATGGAGGAAACTGCAATAAGGAGTGAAATGAGAGGTGATGTTCTTGTGTATTTTCTGGTGCTGTACACGACAATTGCTGTTTCGTTTGGCTTTTTTGTTTTGTTTTTTCTGTATTGGGTTCTGCAATCCAGCTGTAAAGGGAATCCATCCTGGTGTTTAGATAGACATGGAGTGTGTTTGGCGAGGATATTATTTGAATTATTATCATCATGGGCAGAAAATCAACAAAAAAAGGGTACGCTAAAATTGTGTGGCTCTGGCCCCTGGGTTGCGTTCGACAGACATCGGACCACGGCGTACAATTATTAGAGTAAATTCCCAAAAAGTGTGACTTTTTAAACTAACTTCCCAAAGGGTGGTGATTTTTTAGTATCTTCCCAAAGGATGAAAAACGCATCCAGGAAATGCATTTTTATAAATAAAATCGCAATTGTCAAATGCGTTATTTTAATTTTCATCAATTTATTTTAATATAAAAAATTGGTTAAATAACGCATTATTAGAATGCCTTATTTTAAAAAGTCTCATAGGATGAATGCGTTTTTTGTCCTTAAAACCCATTTCTGAAATGCGTTTATTAATAAAAAAACGCATTTGCTAAATGAGTTGTTTAGCATATCTAAGAAGCCTGTTCTACTCCCCGGTACTTCATAAGGGGTCTAAAAACTAATTTCCCCTCAATCCCTCTCTTTTTCTACCCTAACTTCTTCAGGCGCCAAACAAAACGCACCACCCATTCAATTTTTTCTTACATCTTATCCCACATTCGCAGCCAACGTAAGAGCAAGGGTGGTGATTGGGAGACTGCTGAGCTAATTAGGCATATTATCAGGTAATACTTAAAATCCCAAATTTAGGGTTTATGTAATGGATGCATTTAATTATTTTAAAGAGCAAAAAGCAAACCTGAGATGATTCTTTGGGGTTTATTGACAGAGGAAGATACCCTACAAAGGGCGAGAGTATTAGACAAAGAGATTCTGGAATTTTCTCAAATTCTACAGATCATCTACTCTCAGGTTTCTTTCTTTCTTTCTTTTTCCCTCTCAAGTAAGTGCTGAAATTTTTTTTTTCCCTCAAACTTAAAGTAAGTTTATTTTTTTGCAGATTCAAAGGATAAATTGTTGCCAGAGTATTCATTCTCTTCAAAGTGAGTGCTGAATTTCTTTTTCTTTTTTTTTCATACACTATTTTTGGTTGAAATATAAATGGCTTCCGTGTGTTTATGACATTTCTTCTACTAGTATACTTTTATATGTTGAGCTTCCAAGGTTGGAATTTTTGCTTCCTGTTGTTCTTGAAACCAATAAGAAGGGTGAAGCAATCGAAATAGTATAGAGCAATATGCATCCCGTACATTTATAGAAAAAGACAAAGTACGTGCCATCAACTAATGCATCATGAATTAAACTTCTAAAATCCGGATCTATTACTACTTGAATTCATAAATTTTTGACATCACCCAGTAATGCATCACTTAGATTCAAAAATGTATTGATCCATAATCTCTTGCACAATAATGAATTATAGAATACAAAGGAATTAAGCAATCCGGCAAACCCCAGCAGACAAAAAGTAAAAGATTTGGGAAAAGATATCCCCAACAGACCATAATATGAGATGATTATGTCAAGATGCTAAATTAGGCTCCACACCTTGTACACTTTGCTGGAGATTACTTCAAAACTGAAGCAGGAGATATATTTTTCACCTTGTTTTCGAATTTTCTTTTTTTTTTTTACATGTCAGTGTAGTTAGCATTCAGTTAATTTATTTGAAGATATCTAACTTTCTCTCAGTTTACTTGTAAGAATGTACTTAATGTCAATTTAACTGGTCTGAACCATGATTTTGTTAGAAGAGGAGCAGGGGATTTTGTTAATCAGTCCAACAACTTGCCTTCCGAGCCACCCACTGCATGTGTTGTGTGCGTTCTTGTGTGCCTTTTTTAAATTCTCAAGACCTAGATACATGCAAGAGTTTAGATACAAAACGTAGCAGCATATTACATTCAACACTTTTGATACATGTATGTCTACTCTCTTTCAGTTATTGTTAGGTGGTTCTTGAAATATTTTCTTATTCTTTACTGGTTATTGGCGAATATGAATGTTGGCACTATAGATATTAATCTAAATTAATGTGTGGTCATGTCAAAATGAAAAGAAATAAGAGACTACTATAGACTTTTATTTTTGAAAGATTCTTTCACAGTATAGAACGTAATACCTGTGGACAGTTTAGAAGTTTAGGAGTTACCTACATTTACAAGATATGACTGGTTTTAAAATATGCTTTTTATTTATAGTATTTTTCAACATTCGAGATGAATTGACTGTAGTTTACATTGCATTTGAAGGCTTGTTAGCATATGTTTTAATGGATCTTCAACATCCATTGAAACTTGCTTTATATTGGGATGGTCATATCCAATATTATCCTGATTTGGGATTTATAGGCCCAATTGGCAAGATAGTTACAATCAACCACAGGATAAGATTTGGAGACTTACTAAGTAATATACACTCATATATTGGAGTGGATACAATAACTATAGATTTGAAGCTCATCTGCAAATATCCTGATCATGGACCGTGGGGTTTCAAATTTTGCCCATTACTAATAATGAACGAAGAGGGAATGGATTTGATATTTTCTTTAGCAGCTGAGTACCCAAATACTATGGTTCATCTATACATTGTACGAGAATCAGTTCTCAATTGTCAGGAGGGCAATAACATCTTCACCAGTAAGGAAATGGCTCCATATGTAAATTTGCTGACACAAGATGTTGAATCTCCGATATTACCTGCACCTACAACTTCATGCACTCAATCTTTTCTTAAAGATAAGCATGGTGCACAATGGTTGCCATCTTCAAATAATGATATCATTTTTCGTGCTATGAGTAGTATGTCACCTTCATTGAAACCCATCCAATCATCATTACCTACTCCTTTAGTGTCACGGAATGCACTCGAATATACAGAACATAATGAAACTGTGAGTGCTAACCAACAAAGACAGGTGCATGTACTAGAAGATGATGTTGGCTGTTCTAGTTCATTTCAATTGGATCATAATAGAGAAGAAATTGGAACTATGAGAACCATTTTAGCAGCTGAAGAACCTATTGTTGGGGCTGAAATTGGAAATGCACTTGGGATAACTGATGTGATTCATAACTTAGTCTAGAATGAAGCATCTTTGCTGTCTAGAGATGATGCTTTCATTGATGCTGAACAAGGGCAGTCTGATGAAGACAGTGATTGCAATGTCGAGGTTGAAAATGAACAATGTACTTTTGGGGAGGATAATGGTCATACTAGTAATAATGTTACTTTTAGTCCTGAATTACCTGCTTACAATCCACCCGGAATGCCTTTTTATTTAGATATTGGAGATCTTGACAAATTTGTTGTCACTGGTAGGGGATCTCCTACAAGGATAGACTTTTGGAGTGAAAATAGTGCTGGTATTCGCAAGCATATGCGATTCAGTGAAAAAGAGCAATTGATGATGGCAGTCCGACTTTGGTCTATGGAGCAATGCCGCGAGTTTCAAGTTCAAGAGAGTCGAAGTACAGCATGGAAAGTAAAATGTTTAAAATCTGATGAAGGCTGCAAATGGCAACTTAGAGCTTGTTTGAAAGCTACACATAAAACTTGGGAAGTTACTAAGTTGATTCCAGACCATACTTGTACTTCAACGGCATCAACAAATGATCATAGGCATCTTCAATCGAGGATCATTGCTCGCAGAATTGTGCATTTTATTAAAGAAAATGCACTTGCTAGTGTCAAGCAAGTTCAAACTCATGTTAAAAAAACTTTGCATTATGATGTGTCATACAAGAAGGCATGGATTGCTCGATGTAAAGCTATTAAAATGGTCTTTGATGATTGGCCAACCTCATTCACAAAACTACCTAGGTTCATGGCAGCTATGGTATATTATAATCCTGGTACTATTGTTGTTTGGGAACACCACCCGTGCAGTTTAGAAATTTTGAAGACATTTGGCTATATGTTCTGGGCATTCAAGCCAGCAATTGATGGTTTTTTGTCATGCCGATCTGTAATTAGTGTGGATGGAACATTTCTTCACACTCCATACAAGGCTAAGTTGCTACTTGCAGTCGGACAAGATGCAAACAATCAAATTTTTCCTTTGGCATATGCTTATGTGGATGAAGAGACCAATGAAAGCTGGAATTGGTTCTTGCGTCTTCTTCGTCAACATGTTCTTAAAGAAAGACAAGTTTGCTTGATTTCTGATCGTCATAAAGGAATATTAAATGCAATTAGATTGCAGAGGCTTTGGCAACCCCCATATGCAGTTCATCGACTTTGCTTGCGACATGTTAGGAGTAACTTTAACACAAAGTTTCATAACACGCATCTAAAGAAATTGTGTTGGGATGCTGGTTCTACCCCTCAAAAGCGCAAGTTCACCAAGATAATGGCAGAAATTGAGAGGATTGATGCAAAAGCTGCTAAATATCTAAGAGAAATAGGGAAAGAAGAGCTATGGACCTTAGCTTATGATGGGGGATACCGACATGGAATGTTGACAACTAATATTTCTGAGAGTTTCAACAATGCAATCAAAGGTGTTCGTAATCTGCCTATTAGAGCTGCCGTTGAACTAGTATTCACTCGAATAGTTAAGATGTTTCAAGATAAGAAGGAGGATGCTCTACATTGTCAACATCCACTTCCAAAAAGGCCATGGAAGATATATCGAGAGGCTGAAATTAAAGGCAGAAAACATAGTGCTGTGCAATTCTTATAATCAATCATAGTTCTACAGAGTCATAATTGGATTTTGGTATTCTTTCATTAGAGGGTCTAACATTGACTTCTAATCAATCATTGATTTGTATGTTTGAAATTAAATCCTTCAAGTGTTATTTTCTAATAATATTATCTTTTTTTTTTGGATTTTAGGACATATGGATAATGAACAATTAGTTGCATGGATAATGAACAATGACGGTGTATTGTTGATTATTCTGTAGGTGGAATGTCGATTTTAACCTTTCTAGAGTAGCAATGCATGTATTAGTTGTATATCGAGATCAACTAGATAGCTTGAGAGATGATCATATAAGTATTTATTTCATTTATTTTGTAATTTTCCATTTTGTTACTCATAGTTTGTATGGCAACCATATCCTCAACACATTTTAGAGACATTGCCTCAGTGTTGTTTGGCTAGTTCTGAATTGTGGCGTAGTCGAACTGCACTTATTTGTTGGGATATAGTAGAGCTACACCTACCAGATAGGTGTATGCGACAATTTGGATTTGTTCAGCATATTCCGGCACCATGTGACACGGATTGGAGTTTGCATCAAGTGGATCGTCGAGGTAGACGAAATACAGATTGGACCCTTAAACACTACCGCCACATCCAAATGTGGATGGATCGAGCTTCAAGTATACAAGAAGGTGAACTCGAGGAGGTTCCTGGTGAGGCTAGCTTAGAGTATATGACTTGGTATAAGCAGCGTACAAGATTGCTTATTGGCAACCCATCATTGAGACCACTATTACCAGCTGGTTATCAGGGTATTGCACCAGCTAATGAGATGATGGTAACCATTATTTAGATATTTTTAATTGACTACTTTGTTTAAAGTTTTGTATTGGCAGCATTAGAATTTATTTTGATAACATTTCAGGTAGATACATTGCATCGTGTCTATTATAGATCACTTGAAGCATTACCACATGCTGAGGCCATCTCTGTTCCTGCTCTCACTGATATTCGGGATATGTGCCAATCAACTATGCGTGCCATTGGATGTGAGATGAGATTGAAACTCCTACCATTGAATCCAATAATGCCGCTCTCAATGGATGAAGAGTTGCAACATGTAGTTCCACGGGCACGTGTTCGAAGAGCCACACAAGAAGGTTCACAAAGAATCCATAGAGGGGGACGAAGGCGAAAACACGTCCAAACTGATCAAAACAGTGTACAAAATCAGATTTTAAGTCAGGATGAGTTTGTAGGAGATCATATGTTGAATCAAGAGACTAGAGACGTGGGAAATGAGGAAACAACTAATGAGTTCAATCAGACATGTGATCGGACTTCTGAAATCAATCTCGATCAAGGTCAAGGGGATGAACATACAGAAGCTGATACAACACATGCACAAGCTGGTGAACATGATCTGACGCATGTGCAAAGTGATAAGCATGATCAGACACATCTGGAGTTTGATTTGCAACATCAAACACAAGAACATGTTGATCGAAATAAGTGTGACACTTGTAAAGGTCGTGGTAAAAATCAGCATCTACCCTTGCGGCCACCATCTAAAAGAGTCAGAAGGCAAAAGTTGTGTTACTCTGGAGGCATTCTCAAATGATTTATTGTACTTGTCTTGTTATAAGAATTCTTATTGTATAAGAGAATTTGGATTGAAAACCAAGTAAATTTAGTATATGAAATTAGATGTGATATTATATCATCTTATGACATATTTGAATATGCAAGTGTTTGCTTAACAGGTGATATAAATTAAGCACTGCCCTCCCTTAGAAGGAAATTGGAGCTCATTGCTAACAAAAGATTGTGAAAATTTACCTTTATACCCTAATTATTTGGAGAAACCTAATGGCCAAATTTTGCAAAAGAAACTTGTTTCTTGTCAACAAATTAAGTAACTGATTAAACTAATTAAATTACCTACGAGTGTTACTTTCGCGCAATTAATTTACGTTAAATATAAAACCTACAAGTTTTTCATAAAGAACTGGTATGTTATGGGCAATTTAATTTTGTTTTAACTTTCAAATATTTAATTTATGTTAAATACAAAACATACTAGTTTTCCTTTCATAAAAATATTAGTATAACACTTTTTAAATTTTACTTACAAACATTTATATATTTAACATAAATTATATGATTCAGAGTAAAATGCCTGCCCCCATAGCTAGTACTTTATTCAACTAATAGAAGAAACCCATAAAGAGTTGGTAAAAAGTGGGTAATTTCTTTTTTTTACTTTCACGTATTTAATTTATATTAAATACAAAACCTACTAGTTTTCCTTTCGTAATAATATTATTATAATACTTTTTGAATTTTACTACCAACATTTGAGATACAAAATTAGTGTATACATATGTAAAATCCAAAGTTCAAAACCTTTAAGCCTTTTGCAAACCTGAAATGAAATCTCTACCAACTAAATTAATAACAACTATGAAATAACAATTTTTTTGGATCTTGACTTCCATTAGTGAGCTAAATTAATAATAACTTCGATAAAATAATAAGATAATATTTAAAACAAAAACCTTACATAATCGAAGTCCAGAATGAAGAAATGAAAAAAAGTGGTACATATTGTAAACAAACAACGCATTCATCTAATGCGTTTTATTATAAAATAACGCATTTCCGAAATGCGTTTTATGGTGAGATCAAAAAACGCATTCTAATAATGCGTTATTTGACCAATTTTTTCATATTAAAATAAATTGATGAAAAATAAAATAACGCATTTGACAATTGCATTTTTATTTATAAAAACGCATTCCTGGATGCGTTTTTCATCATTTGGGAAGATACTAAAAAAACACCACCCTTTGGGAAGTTAGTTTAAAAAGTCACACTTTTTGGGAATTTACTCACAATTATTACAATGAACAGCTAAAAGTATGAGAATTGAAAATCGACGACCAATGATCAAGTTTGGTATGAACGTATATATATATATATATGTATAGAAAAACTTACTAGCCAACTAATCTTCTTTAGCCTTATTCTTGTAGTCAGCATCAAAGTGTGAGTTGTGTCTATTATTATTATTATTATTATCATTTTGTCAACATCATATAATGGCTTTCTACAAATTAATAGAGATAAACATAACTTTTTTTGAAAGAAAAAAATCAATATCTAAAACGAGTTTTTCCTGTGACTATTGGGGGCACAGTTACAAATTGGTACCACAAAAATTGAGCTTTCAAAAGTTTTGTGCATAAAAGTAAATTTTCTTTGGCCAGTGGGGGCACCAAAGACTGGCTCCGCCCTGTCGCTATGCATCTTATTCATCCAATAAAAAAGAGTTACTTAATTAATCTTATCCATTTGTGAATGGACAGTAAGAATAAATATATTAGCACTGTATTATCATTCTACACCTGTGATAATGACAGGATATCGAGGCATGTGCAATAATAAAAAATAAATAAATTTAATTGTCAGTTAAAGTAACCAAAATCCGATTCCAGGTATTGGAGTAGGGACTCTAGGTGTGCAATGAGTTACTTGATTCACCCTATTTCTGAAAAATTTGCTCGATCCGATATACCCGAATGGGATGGCTTTTTCACAAATAATTATGAATTTGTAGACAGGGCAAGTAGGGTCGTATCTTCAGGAATTTGGGATATTTGTCTCTTTAGAAATCCAAAGTAACACATGAGGTGTTTTTGTATAAAAGATGACAATTAAAACGATTCAACTAAAAATAAAATAGCCAAACAAAAATTAAATGACAATTTACTAAAATCAAGGTAATAATAATTAAGGGTCTAGCCAAGAAATAACTTCAGCAATGGTTCACCTAGTTGATCATCGATGCACAAACAATTCTAATTATTTATTAATAAATAGATTATAACTACCAAACAAGCGATGGCAGTCAACCCCTACTTACTGTGTCGGTGATTAAGGTATGTCTGTTAATCACTGTTTTAATTGAGAAATAATCCTAGGTACGCCCGTAAGATTTAATTCTCCAATTGCCTTATGTATTAGAGGAGTTCTATTCTACCCAAATAATGCACTACCAGGGTTATTTCATATTAGCACGCGTATTCCCCTGATACAAGTCTAATTATGCCAGTTGTCATTATTTTAAGGTAATTAAACAATTATAGATTTAATACTCTAATTGACAATAGATTATCGAGTTAACTAATTATTTGGATTCAAGACAATCAATTAATTAAATAATTACAAGTACTGCAATCAAGAAATATGCGAATACTAATAAATAAAAAAAATTAAATTGATCTCATAATTTTTAGGCGAACCAAAACCTCTATTATTTTTTGACTAGAATGAGGAAATTAGTTCATGTTTGATGAGAAAAAATCATACGAAACTGAAGCAAAAGCTGCGGCCATCTTCTGCGTTTGGGAAATTTCAATTTGCCTCAAACGATGATAGGAAGCGAAAACTGCCTAGAATGATTAAATCCTTCAATTGTTCCAAGCATACGCGGCAGGAGAACCACAAAGGACGACAAGCCAACGTCAAATAGAAAACAGGGAGTCATTCCATTGTGCCTAATTGACATGCGAGAATTGAAGCTAAGCAAAAGCCAAACCAAGGAAAAGTCAACAAAAGCAACTCCAAAAGTAATCCTATCTAAAAGTCTACTCTAATGCCCTACTCTACTGTGTGGCGTTCCAGCCATCAAAACGAAGACTCCAGCTTCCTCTTTTTTTTTTCTTGCTATCTTCGGCCAAATTATCAAAATAAGGGTCGCGCCCCCTTATTCTAAAAATGCCCCCGCCTGTTATTTGAATTCTTGTTCGATGACTGTTAAATTAGTATTGATTGTGATATTTTCGTTCCACTCTCTGAAATAAATATAAATTATAAAAAGTGAGTAGAATCTAATAATTAATTCACATCGGATCAGGTAATAAAAAAAATTAATAAATAAATAATAAAATCGCAACCTATCAGATAATTAAATCTAGTTCATATGTCAATGGCACATGGTTCTCCACAATTACCAGTTTTTTGGTCAGAGCTTAATTCAGAAAAAATTAATTTGTTGGGATTATACTGCATTAAATTACATAGTTCTTCCATTTAGTTAAATTTTCAGCTTGGCACAGAAATCATATTGTCGTGGAAGCCCAAATGAAAGTGATGAGGGAAACGTTCGACTAAAAATGAAAAGGAAAAGGAAAAGGATCTTTGGCCCTTTCTCAATGCAAAATTACTGTGTAACGCTTGTGGTTTTGTCTATATGACTTTTCTAATGTTTCAAAGTATTCACATGATGTCTTGTGATTTTATATAAAGTAAAAATTTGATGAAAAACAGCCTCTGCAGTACCGCTAGTTAAATTATCAATAATGTCCTCACTTAATACTAAATATAACAGGGGTTTTAACCACTATTCACAAAACTATAAGAGGGATTATATGGATGTGTGCAATTACTCAACTATATTTTCCACTTATTAGACTGACTTTGTTATGAAACATTGGACGGAATAGTTTCTGGAAGTTGAAATAGTTATTATCTTTATATTCTAAGAGGGAATAATAGTTATATTTTCCTGCCCAGAAAACTTTAGTTGGAACACATTTTAGTTAAGCATCAAACTCGCTTGTACAAAACATAATCTGCACCGATGGTATGCATGACTTCAAATTATAGGTGGCATACCAACCCACTTAACTAAGTTTACTCATATCCGCTCATGAATAGATGGGTATATGTATCTTAAATTTTTGTATATGGATATAAATGAATTTATTAAATGGGTATTATTGGGTAACCCATAAAACCCAATTAACCTATTTAGAATTCTCTTCCCCCAAGTCTCTTATCTTCCCCCACCCATTTTTTTTTTCAAATTTTTCATTTTATCATGATGTTAACTACTTTTGTTTCATTATTATTATTATTTGTTGGTTTTATCTTATTATTTTATTTTCTCTTAGTTTGTTAACTTGCTCATTTTTCAGCATTACCAATTTATGATAAGTTTTAGCCTCTTTTCTTATCTTTCTAAAATGAAATTTTAAATTTATATATGAAAAAAATGTTAGGGGTTCAAAATTTTTGGATTAAGTTTTTATATTAACTTTTACAGTACTTAGTTCAAATTTTTATATTCTTATTATTCAATTATTAAAGAATATGTAATTTTGCTACATAGAGTATAAATGAAAAAAAAATTGGTAATTAGGCTTATTGAGCATTATAAGTAAATGTTTAAAACTAATGATGGATACAAAGAGCGGTATAAATTGATAACTTAGTTTGCAAAAATTAATTTAAATGAGTTTATAAAAAGTTAAAATAAATGGGTAATTGGATTACTCAATTCATTTTTTGACTTATCCATTGATACCCATCTAATTAAATGGGTTGATTCACTTATACCCATTACCCATTTTATTCAATCCAAACCTGCCCAAATCATCCATATTCACACCTCTACTTCAAATTAACTTTCGGATAGTAAGCATGCACTCTACTTAGAGAGCAGTACAAGGGTTTGAAGTCATAGCATTTATGGACCATATTGACTAACAAATTTTCTTAGATAGAAGAAGAGTGGTAAGGAATAGCAATCAGAAGCAGATCCTGTTTTGGCCTGACTGCAAGGCCAAAGGCCTCAGTCATGTCTAGTAGTTCTGGATTCAAATCACCAGGGAGCTTCCAATCGAAGTGGTAGAGAAGTTGAGCAAGAGGTAGCTCGATGTTAGGAAGAGCAAATGATATGCCAGGGCACATCCTTCTTCCCGCCCCAAATGGTATATAATTAAAAGTTTTTCCCTTGAAATCGGTTTCAGATTCAAGAAACCGCTCTGGGATGAATTTCTCAGATTCAGTCCAGTGTTCTGGATCTCGACCAATTGCCCAGACATTGACAAAGACTCTGGCTTTGACAGGAATTTCATATCCCTGAATTTCACATTGCTCGCTACATTCCCTGGGAAGTAAAAATGGACCAGCAGGGTGCAATCTTAAAGTTTCTCTGATAACTGCTGGCAAGTATTTCAATTCATGAAGTCGTGACTCATCAACGTTGCCCATTTCACCATATATTTGTCGTACCTCATCTTGGGATCTTTTTAATAGTCTTGGGTTTTTAATCATTTCAGCCATTGCCCATGCCATAGTTGTTGATGACGTCTCCCCGCCGCCAAAGAATATTTCCTGGACAGAATGAGTAACTTCAAGTTCAGTTGATGGGGAAAGGAGAGTTAACCAGATTATTACTCATTGATATCACTCATATAGGTATATTTGGCGCTCTATTTCAAATTTTCAATTGGAAGTGGAATTGAAACGGTCGTTTAAGAAAAAGTAGCTAGTTCAAAAGGATCAATATTAGCTTCACTACTACTCCTGTTCTAATGATTAAACTAAACGCAACGTAAAAGAATGTGTTCAAAATGAGTCTATGGAGCAAAAGCTATTGACTTACAAAGATGACCGCCTTGACGTTATTGTCAGTAAGTGGAGCTCCAAATTCCCCAGATTCTTGAATATTTAGAAGAACATCAACTATATCCTGCTTTGCTTCTCCATTTCCAGGTTTCCACCCCGCTCTTTTGACTTTGTGCTCATTGAGAATGTTTTCAAGTACTTCATCAATCTGTTTGTGTAACCTCTCCAGCTTACGTCTAATTCCAGTAATTCTCTCGAGAATCTTGAAAGAAGGGTACATGTCCACGACGTTGAACCCTGAAAGCAATATCACAACTTCGTTCATAAGTGACAAGAACTCGTCATGGTATTTACTTCTTTTACCAAAAGCAGCCCGAGCAGTGATGCTCAATGTCAGAGAAGACAACTTAGTGGTAAAATTAACAACTGATCCTTCTTCTGAAGAGATTGATTTGATCATATTTAAGACTTCATCTTCCCTAATTGATCGGAATGTCTGGACACGCCTTGCACTCAACAGCTCCATCGTGTAGATCTTGCGTAGTTGTCTCCAATAATCGCCATAAGGAGAAAAGCTAATATGAGTGTTATTGTAAAAGAGTATGGTTGATGTAAGAAGAGTAGGCCTATTAGCAAATATGGTATCATATTTGTTCAGAAAATCTTTTGCAACATCTGCAGAAGATACAACTACAGTTGAAACTTCACCAAGCTGAAGATGCATCAAGGGTCCATATTTCTTGGCCAAGTCTGCTAGGGTTCGATGAGGCAGGGAGCCATTAAGGTGATGCAAGTTCCCTATTATGGGCAATTTTCTTGGCCCTGGTGGGAGCTTTACAGGCTTGGATTTCTTTACAATTTTGACTAACATCAAACAAAATAGGAAGAAAGCACCTAGGAAAAGGAAAAGATCCATGAGGATGGGTAAACAAAAAATTCTGGGATGCTCCTGCTTTAAAACAGAAATGATCTTAAGTATATATAGAGGTCTCATTATGGTTAAACTATTGGGAAAATCATCGAAATGGTCCCTCACATATGTAAAAAGTCCTTTTTTGGTCCCTCACACTTGCAAATAGTTCATTTTTTGTCCTTCACATATGAAAAGATGGAAAATGATCCCACACATTTGCAAAGTCCTTTTTTAATCCCTCACATTATTAGAATTTAAAATAAATGTATTTTAAACAAAATTTAATTAATTATTTATTTATTATTTTGCATAATTAACATATATTTATGGTGTCATTAATTACATTATCTCTGGTTTGTTTTTGTCCAAATAACGCATACCTTAATTGTGTATCAAAAAATTTTAGACCGCAGAGTAACTCAGCAAAATCATGGGTCAAGGGACAACGGATTTTACTGATTGAGCCATCATCTAAAAATTGGAAACTCAGATGATGTAATAATAGCATCATAAATATGTTTTAATTACGTTAAATAAAATTTTATAGCTACAGGTTTAATAAAATATATTTGTAATAAATTCTTATAATGTGAGGGACCAAAAAAGACTTTTTACAAATGTGAGGAACCATTTCTATCTTTTCATATGTCAGGGATCCAAAAGAACTTTTTATAAATGCCAGGGACCATTTTACAACTTTTCAGATGTGAGGGATTAAAAAGGGACTTGTTACAAATGTGAGGGTCCATTTCGCCGATTTTTCCTAAACTATTCTAATTTCTAAACCACTTGCCAGATCTAGAAAAGTCCAATAGCCAGTGACTGATTAAGACCTAAGAGGCAAGCTGCACGTTTATACCGTGCAACTCTATCAGGCGTTAATGTATATCTTTATCTTTACTGTACTAAAAGCGAGAGTTGGCATTGCTACAGTAGGCATGGACCGGTTACAGAGTAATTTTTAGCAACTCCAGTGGCTTTTACAATGTGACATTCGTAGAAGCTCAGGGCAATATCGTCACTATGTTGATATATCATGCCAGAAGTAGGCCCGGGGAGGGAGGGGCACGAAAATTTTGCTGGTTCCATTCCATAACCCATTCATGGGTTTAAAGAAAAGAAGAAGGATTATCCAGCTATCCCTTAAAATTACAATTAAATACAAACCTTTTGAGGATTGTTGTTTCCTTCTGAAAACTAATATGTCGAACTATAGGACCGCAATAAAAGGCCAGAGTACCAAGAATGGAATCAATTAGCAATCCTTTAAAAAATTAAGGTGATTGTTCACATAAATTACCATTACTTAACTACAACAACAGTAAAGTTTGAAGCACAAGTACAAAAATTCTTGGTCTGCTTAGCAAGAAAAATCTGAAAGCCAAATATATAAAGAAACCAGAAATTGAATACTATCTATCAATTGCTTGCGATTTTGACATACTGTAGGTCAAAGCCACATGTTTTTTTCATCAAGGTATAGTTTAATTTCCTAATCATGCAAGTACCACGTAAACTTCGACGGAAAAAAACATACAAAAAAGTGGCAAAGGTTTAAAAGACTACCTCAGGCAGTGAATAAGGTCTCTGGATTCCAAATCTTTTCCGAAATAAGATCAATAAGTAGTTTCCTCCAAAACACCAGTGAGATAGAAAGCTATGAATACGAGCTATTCGGTTTGGTGGATAATCGAATAAGTAGTTTGGTCATTTATAAATCAATATTGGATGGTCCCTACTAAGACTAATCTGTAGATGCAGGATACTATTGCTTTGCATTTGCGAAAATAGGGATAATACATTGCAGTGAATCTGAGTATGATATATTTCTCTAGGTTGTTCCTAGCTATTGTCGAGTACTTCCTAAGTAATTCTCCTACTAATGCATTCCCACAAATGTATCAGAAATTTGCATCAAGTTCAAGCAAATACTTAGATATTTTGTAGCAAATTCAGACAGAAATCCAGGCATCCTTACGGGATTCAAATGGTAGTTAAGGTCCAATTGTGAATTGGCTATTAAGGTTGTAAGGTAAAATATACTACATGTTGCATGTCTCAAGATTACTATAATTTGTTCTACTTCAAAGAATGCTTGACAAAAGAAAAGAAGGAAAAGTTCATCGTCATTGACTAATAGTCTGCACAAAAAAGAGATGCAAAGAAGAAAAATGATGACGATGATCTATGTACTACACCCAAAAATTATTGCAATGAGTGCAAGAAGTTTTGTAAGACACGTTCTATTGGAAAGTTTACTACAAGAAACAACACCTGTCAATATGATATTTTTTACTACAATTACTAGAAGCATATTTGTTTTACTACATCACGAATAATTCTCAATTTCTTGACATTTTTTATTGCATAGAAATGTGATGATTGTTCTTTTAAATTATTGACATCACCATTGTGTTTATTCACAATAAGTTTCAAGAAGGGTTTTACTTGTTTAAACTTATTTCATTCTTGACTAGATACAAATAGTGTGTGCATAATTTTAAAAGTGATCAGCGTCACCACATTTATGATATTTGTATGTACTTGTACATTTCAAATGAATGCATCATTTATTTATAGTATCAAGAATTTGCAAAGATCTTAAGGTAATGACTGACTATTTAAGAGAAAATTACAAATCAAATGAGTAAACGAGTAACATCAATATTCAATTTACTTAAAATCAAATTCCCCACATTTATTAACACCTATCATGTATTAATATATAAGCATTTTACATTAATCCACTTGCCTTCATTTGATATTGATTAACATAGACCCAGGACATCCTCACGCATCGCGTGAGACTGAAAAAACTAGTGTATAGAAAAACTTACTACTCAACTAATCTCCTTTAGCCTTATTCTTGTAGTCAACATCAAAGTGTGAGTTGTGTCTATTATTATTATTATTATTTTATTTTGTCAACATCATATAATGGCTTTCTACAAATTATTAGAGATAAACATAATTTTTTTGAAAGAAAAAAAATCAATATCTGAAAAGAGTTTTTTCTTTGACTACTAGGGGTACAGTTACAAATTAGTACGACAAAAATAGAACTTTCAAAAGTTCTGTACCTAAGAGCACAAATTTTCTTTGGCCAATGATGCCATATATCAATTGTTCCTATTCTAATTGCTGCTGTGCGGCCATATATCAATTGTTCCTATTCTAATTGCTGCTGCTACTGTTCGGCGGACAGAGGAAAAAGAAGATTTCGGCCTCCCCTTTTTAATGCTGTCTTCGGGCCAATTACCAAGAAGGGTCGTGGTTTGATATTTCAAAAATATCCCTACATGTCTGCTACTTAAATTCTTTTTTGATAACTGTCAAATTGACACTTGTTATGGTATTTTCATTCTACTTCCTGAAATAAATGTAAATTGTCAAACGTGAGTAAAATCTAACAATTAATCCACGTCGAGTCAGGTAATAGGAAAAATTAAATGATAAAATTGCAACTTATCAAAAAAAATAATTTTTTGGGGTTATACTGCATTAAATTACATAGTTCTTCCATTTAGTTAAATTTTCAGCTTGGCACAGAAATCAGATTGTCGTGGAAGCCCAAATGGAAGTGATGAGGGAAACGTTCGCCTGAAAATGAAAAGGAAAAGGAAATGGATCTTTGGCCTTTTCTCAATGCTTCATTCAGATTGAAATATGAGGAGGTGATGTTCAAGATTTTGTTGAGAATTTTGTGGTGCTGTTATTGCTGTACATGAAAATTACTGTTTCGTCCGACAATTTAATTGCAAAAGATAGATGCCCAAAAATACATACTTGGTGATCACATCGACATAATTTGTTTGGGATAATTTACATTTTAACCTTCTATAAAGGGTCATGTGATAAAGTAATAAACTATGGTAGAGTAAAAGATAATTTGTCCTTTTTTTTCCAAACGATATGGAAATAATTCAGATATGCTGACATTTATGATGTAAATGATGTTTCCCCGAGAGCTGACTAGTATATAATAGCAGCAAAATGGGAGTTCCCAAGGTTACAGACATGGCTAACGCCAACCTTGCAGTTTAGGACCAAAGATTGAGTCATGTGACCGGCCTTTCTCACCGGTTTTTTGGCATCGCGGCTAGACTTGAGCTATATATTTATATTTTTTAAGTCTAAGGAAATAGTAGACATTGAATGTGAGAATATGACCCAAAATTAGAATATGCAAAATGTATTGTAGCAATGGCATGCTTAACACAGATTGGGTGCCGATGCTGTTGTGTTTTGTGCAATTCGATCTGATCGTTTTATATGTGTTATTTTTTGTGTAGAACTACATTATAATGTTATATTGAATATATATAAAATATTTTATTCATGTACATTACTTTTGTCATAAGTATAATAATGTAATGTAATTATACACTAAATAATATTATAAGTACAACAATCGGATCGATTTGCACGGAACAACAATAGTACCGGCCCCAATTCTGTTTAGCACTAGACATGAGTTCTAGATACCTGGTGATGGAAGTTTTAAACAGTGATAATACATTGTAAGGATGCAGGGAATCGTGCCTAAATGATATAACATTTTTTGAATGGTGTATAATTCTAAATGGAGTGCTTATACATTCTTACAACTAAGGTGTGATATTCTGCTACTGCTCATGCGGGTTCTATGCATAATAATTGCGTCTGTATTATAAAATTTTAAAAGTAGTTCATATATAAAGTTATATCTTATTCAAAAAATATTATATCGTTCAAGATGGTTGTTACTGACAATCGTGCATGTCCTTATCCTGCATTGCACGTAAAGCTACTGTTATGACATATCTCTTGGCTATACAGTTGAAGATCACTAAAACAAGAACGAATTAATTACCAAATAGCAACAATTCATCAGCGGGGGTGATGTTGCCTTTCTCAGGTTTTTGAGTTTTCTTATTTCTGCATTGTACATAATTATTATGCCGCCTCCTTTTGTCCTTTCAGTATTATTTTATTGTTAATTACATTTAATGTGAAATATTTAAATCACTAGGACATTG